TGGTGCATGATATTTTCCTGAACTAGTTTCACCATCGCTAGCACTGTTGTTAGTTGAGGATGATGATGCTGATCGATGTTTCTCAAGTCGGTTTAACCGTGCTTGAGATACTAATTGAAATCTTTTCTTTTTAACAATATCTTGAGTTGATTTTAACAGTAAAATAACTTTGTTTTTCGTCCCAACTTTTAATGATACTGAATTATGATATATATTACAAATCTCCTTTTTCAAGTTAATTAATTCACAGGTAGAATTTTCATCATCAGGTTTTTCAAATAAATCAATTAATTCATGTTGATCAACTTGACTCAAAATCGTATAACTATCGATATCGTGATATCGTAAAATTTTTTCAACAAGTCTTCCATATTGTTCTTCAATACTTTCATAAAAACGATCACCTGTAAGAGTGATTAGCTGTTCGATTTCATTATTATCCATAATTAATTTAAGTTTTTATGATTTATTATTGATTTTTCTATGTCATCTACATGCCAAAAAATCGTTGGTATCGGAAGCGAAACTCATTCGACAATTGTATAAGCAATTAAATGTAAGGAAGTAGCCAATGCATCTAGATGTCGTCCGATTGTGTATGATTGATGAATTCATAGAACAAAACAAAAAATAGTTGTGTCGCCATATAATATTTGGACTTCACTTGTTTTACTCAAAAAAAGTCATATTTAATGATTACAACTGGTGAAAAAGCGAACAATGCCCTTTGATACATGATAAAGCCCTCCACTACTTCATTTGTAACTAGAAAAATGGCTCTGATCATTCGTAGTTCTATCATATAGAAGAAACTACACAAGTTATTCAAAACTCTTTTAGAAATCTTTAAAAGTATTCATATGCATATAACAGATATTTAATGACATATCAATTTAATATTTTTCCTTTGTCATATATGATATGAAGTATGATATAATACTCCGTATCAGTAATTTGTTCAAACATCAACAAGTTTATCTTCTTTAAAAAAAATAAACGATGAGCTTTACATTTAGATTTACGAAATAGAATATGTATTATGGATTAACTGATTATATTAGTACTGGTTATTTGACTTACATTGATATCATTTTCAACCACTTAAATAAGATTTTTCGGTTAATTTTATTGTAACAACTCAAGTTTTCGTTGAAAAGTCTTAATTCAAAACATTTTATCCGGATTGATCGAATGCAAAATGTAATAACTGAAAGATTAAATTTGCAAGAAGTTGTATGACAGAGCATATTGTTTAAAGCGAGACAAGGTGACGTCGTTATTTTCTTTCGACAACTGATAAGTTGCAATAATCAATTCGATTAGTGGAATACAAAATACAAATATTTTCAATTTGACAGAAAATTATCTTCTGAAAACTGTTATTGAATGTATTATGTATTATGGTTTAGAATAATAGCGTGCATAACAAAAACCATGATATTGATATAAGAGGTCATTCATAGTCCAACATAGTTCATTGTTCTTCATCGCTTCTTCCCTTATACTTCCTTGTTCTTTTTCTGTATTTTTCTCGCACTTCCATTGTACTTCGATCATACTTCCTCGTACTTCTCTTGTACTTCCTTGTACTTCCGTGATACTTCTCGGTACTTCCCTCGTACTTCAAAAAACTTCGGAAGTAGATGAAATCTCGTTATTTCCCCCTTGGGGAGATCACGGCATTCCTTTAAAAGCACACCGTAAACGTGCAGTATCTCCGTAACAATGAGCAAGCGGCCCGAACTTTTTCATGGTATTCATAACTCATTTGTACCAGCATAATGCACATAGTATCAACTCAAAAGCGATTGATCAATTGGTGCCCCTCCCTCGTGAGACCTAGAATAAGGAAAGGATTTCGTCGTTTATTATATAGTTCTGAAAAGATGAGTGAAAATACATGGAAAAAGTGGTGAAACCAGTCTATACAAATACATGACAGACAAACTGAAGTTTATTTTTTTGTGATTTCGATCGGAAACCATCTCGCCATCATTTCTGGTTTTTGTGATCAGAAGTCCCACCGACGGTGCTTCCCAAGGTATTATTGTCAGCAGCATTGTTGGTTTCTAAGAGAAATGGATGCCCAGTGATTTATATAAAAGTGAAGTCATAATGGAAAGGTAGAAAACCAGCTGGTGTTTCCGAATAAATTTATCCGCTTTCATTCAATACAGTCAGTTCGTGATTTGAAGTCTTGGAAATGTCTTCTAATGCCTTTATGATTTTTCAGAAAGAGCTTTTCCCATGATAGGCATACTGAAGAAGAACACTATGAAGTGCTCAGCAAAGTGACTCCTCGAAAAATGTACACTCTACATCCCGGATTCAAAGTACCATTTTCACTGGACATAATTCTTTTAAATGCTGAAACCTGCTCACTATAAATAGTGGACATCGAGCCCTCTGATGATTCAAATCTTCACAAGAAATCTATTCTAAAATAGGAAATGTATTTGTTTTTAAAACTCAAATATCACTATAAACTTTAGAGAGGAAGGTTCTCGATGTTCCGATAAATTGAAGAGCTTGTCAAAGCATGAAGTTCTTATATGCTTATGTTGAATGGTTTTCAACAAAATTATTTATTTTACTAAAGTATTGTTCCTCTTAAGTTCTAGTAGAACGGAAAATTTCTTTTGAGTCAAGCTTCATCGAATATACTAATCGAAGTTTAAATGGGTTCAAAAGTGTTAGGACGGCAAACATGCACATTGGGAAGGCTTGATCATATGGGAAAGTCACTGTGGAAGGTTACTGAACTTTTTTCTTCTTGATGGAAGTCTTTTTCCATATTCTAAGAGCATCTTTTAGGTTATTGTTCATAAGCAATCGAATAAAATAACTTTCAATAACATCGGGACAAATATCTGCGCTGAAAAACGGTGAGATCTGATTTTCGATAGTATTGGGATACGGCTTTAGTTTTGAAAATAGAAGCATATCCGTCTGCACAGATTTGTTTCCTCAAATAGACTTAACCTTTTCAAGAATGTGGTAAGCGAAAGTAGACAGCTTCTCTAAGAAGCGAGTGAGTCGTCGAGTTATACCGGAAAAGTTTACCCGAGAATTGTTAAATTGTTTCACACCTGTAGCTCCATTGAGAAATAAGCTGAAAATGCTGAAATTCGCAAGACAAATCGTCGTAACAATTATCTATGTGACGGGATCTACATTAGATTGTTCTAAGTTAATGAATCATTTTAGACTGAAATATACGCTGATTCAATAGGATAATTCTACTGTTCGCCACTTTTGCGGTGAACGAGAAAAATTCTCGTCAAAAGTTGAGATAAAATACCTGTATGCTGAATTGTGGCAGCTTCGGTTTGTTTATGCTCAGCCTTATCATGCTTATCTGCTCGGAGCTCATGAGTTCCAGATGGCTTGTGTGCGACATGAGTAGCTGGTTTTCCAGGCGTGTTGGAATGACCATGTGTTGCAATTTTTGCATCTGTATCCGTGTGTTCATGTTGATGAGGATGGATATTGGCTGTATTTGTGCTTCCAGGTATCATTGGCTCCTGTGTGTGTCCATCTTCAATCACTATGTAAAAAGAGCAAAACTAAGTGTTTAATGAATTCAATTAGAAACTGCAGCGTGAACAAAAATAACACACACATTAGCATATTCAGGTAAATACGCCTAAGAAAAGAAATGTCTCGGGCTCTGAACAGCTAGATAGCTCTATTATTTCATGATTCATTATCTGGAGGAGTCAGACAGTGATATTTCCGTCATTATTTGAGATTACAAATACGAATATTTTCTGTTAAACAAGTTCTAGAACTACCTCTTGTATTATCTGACAGGTTAAACTTGTTCCCTAGACTGAAAGGCTAGGGTCTAGAAACCGTAATTCAGCTGTGCCTGCCTGTCTGTCTGTCTGTCTGAAACATAGTCTTGCAACAAATGGTCATTTCCAAGCTTAGATGACCATTTTTGTGGGACAACTGACCATTTTCATGGCACAAATCCCCATTTCTGCGGCAAAGATGCTCATTTCTATGGCATAAAAGACCATTGATGTTGTAGAAATGAGCATTCCTGTGGCACAAATGGCCATTTCTAGAAGCCGTAATTCACTAGACTGAAAGGATGGGGTCTAGAACCAGAAATGCATCTATGTCTGTCTTTCTGTCTGTAATACGTGGTGCAAATGACCACAGAAATGGTACAAATGCCCAAAGAGGTAGTACACATGATGATAGCGATGGTGAAGATGACCATAGTGATGGTACAAATGACCTTTTTTGTATCAAAACGATCATTTTGATGGCTGAAAAGGCCGTCAGTATGGTGAAAATGAGCATTTTAACTTACATTTAACAATTTGATTTTGGGAAAAGATTTGCCGTTACACATCAAGCTTTTTCTTGCATCTTTCTAGGTTCTTTCTTACAGAGAGCTTATACATGGATTTGCTTATAAATATAGCTGTATGCCGTCAGTCTAGGGCCAAGTGAATCGATTTTCGATACAGGTTACTTCAGATCAACCAGGTTCAAAAAGCAGTAGCGCCAAAGAAATGTATTTTCTAGTTTTAATCTGGCTGTAAGCAGCCGATGTGTGGGTACATCTCCTACTTCTATTTAAGAACAACATAGATCCAACATTACATGGCATCTTCGACTGAATTCGGAAAATTGTTTGTCTTTTTGCTTTAACGAACCAGCTTAAACACATCCTGGCACTCACCCAATGTGTCTTGTAGAGAAACTGGTTCTCTACAAAACTCAATGTATGATGACATCATCTAATTAAAATTTAAGAGCTTTATGGATCAGAGATGCAACCGGCAACGGTAATTGGCAGTCCGCTAGAGGATTCCTTTCTGATCGGTCTAGATTTTTTAAACATTTTATATGATTTGTTTACAAAAGAATTAATAATACAAGTATTTTTCTCACAAGTTAAACATTTTTTACTGGTGTTGAAGACTATCTCTATGAAGGAACACGTATTAGAGCATTTCCATGCAATGAAAATACATCATAATACACTTAAGATAATATTTTATCAGCTTCTTTTCATATCATTTTATGACATCGAAACAAAGTCGCTTAATTCTTATTGCAGTTGTTCATAAATTTATTTGTATTTCCTATTATTTATACATTGGATGATATAAATGAATTACAAAGTAATTTAAACGGAATGATTCATATAATAATTCAGGTTTTATTATTTTCTATCAATATTTACGATTGCGTCTACCTTTGTCTAGCTAGTGGTATCAAACTTGAAGGTTGAATCCAATTCAGGTTTCTAGAAAGGAGATTCACATGGTATCTCTCTCCATGTGGAAGCACGAAAGGACACACCGTATCTTTCTCGATGTAGATGCACGAAAGGACACACACTGCATCTCGCTTGATGTGGATGTCAGGAAAGGACTCACAGGTAGACCCTGGTTACCTATGGTAGACTATGATAGATCTTG